ATATTGAGAATTGGAATGAGTGGATAAGAATATGACACCTTACTATCAAGCAAAAAAATTATGTTTGGTACCAAACATACCCATTTTTTTCTCTCTATATATATATATCTCGCATCGGTGTTAGATAGATTTTTATTTGAAGACAGAAACTATGTAATACAACACGGAATTAAGTAATATCCTATAAGATAAACTTTTATTAATAATAATGTTCCTTTTTTAATAACTCAATATATCTTGTAGCTCCTCCCACTTTTCTCATCACATTAAAACAATCTAACAACTTTGAATATGTTCACATGTTGAATAATGCAAAGATTGTTTAGCTAACGAGATGTTAAAAATAGATTGAGGAGCATCGTTTCAAGAATCATCACGCCGAATCATGTACCATTCGATTGAAGAATCAACAACTCTCAAATCAAAGAAGTCAATATGCTGTAAGAATGAGATTCATATGGTTGTTACCCGGTTGCTATCTCTTTATAAGGGGGAAAAAAGATGAGAAGAATCTCATGTTTTATGTTAGAAAAGAAAACAATATGCAAATAAGAATGTTACTCCAGCACCAAGGGGCTGTTTGTTTTGCTTCTTTTGTCCCTGATTCCCTGACAAAACTGACAGCTTGCTTTCTTCCCAAAATGCCCTTAAGGGGCTATTTGGTTGTTTTCTTTTGCCCCTGATTCCCTGCCAAAACTTACAGTAAGCTGTCAGTTTTGACAGCTTTCTTGCCAAAACGCCCTTTTTAGGGGCTGTTTGTTTTGTCTTTTGCCCCTGATTCCCTGTCAAAACTGACAGTTTTGACAGCTTTCTTGTCAAAACACACTTTAAAAAAACGTTTTGGTAAGAAAGCTGTCAAAACTGACAACAAGATGTCAGTTTTGACAGGGAATCAGGGGCGAAAGAAAACAACCAAACAGCCCCTACTATGAAAAACAAATGTTCGTCATCACTGTTTCCTAATCTACCATCTTTACCGAAAACTCCCCAACAGACAAATTTATTAATTTTCTCCTCACGGGAAGCTCCTAAGCCCGCAGAGAAGTTGGGTGGGTTTGGAGAATTAATTAAGAAATTTTAATGGCAAGGAGGAAAGTAAAGAAACAAATAAAAAAATTCCAAGTCAAGTGCAGCCCCCATTGCTCTCTCTCTCTCTCTCTCCTTCTGTCCAGATAGCGATTTTGGAAGCTCGACTCCAGCTGTCTCCAATTACCCCCACCCTTATCTTTCCTATTTATTTTCTAATTCCCCACTCTATAAATTATTCTACAGTCCCTATATTTTTTTATAAATATTTATTCACCCCTCCGATTTCCTCCTTCCTCCTCACTCTGCTCTCTCCTTTCCAATTTCATCACAGACCAGTTTTCAGCTTCTGTTGTTTGCTTGCTGGGTGAATAAAGCTGGCTTTTTTTTGCTTAATTTCGGTGCAGAAAGGAGCTTCCTTGGATAAAAAATGTGATTTTTATTGCTTGCCTCGTTTTCTTCTGCCTTTTCTCTTTCTCGGGTTTACTTTATTTTTCGTGTTTAGGTATTTGGAAGCCAAGAAGAAAACCCACTTTGACAAATAGTGATTTTCTTTTTCTTTTTCTCTTTTTGATGCAGTGGTTGGAGGTTTTTAGAGATTTGAGCTTGTTGTGAGGTGGGGTAAAATGGAGCCCAGGTAACAAAATCCATAAAGTTTCATAAAAATCTTGCAATTGGAGTGGTTTGCTTTGGGGGAAAGGAAACGCAATAATAGAGTTCTTAAAGCAGGAGCAGCAAAAGAAGAGATAAAAGTTAAAGGTACATGCTTTGCTTATCTTGTCTCTTCTCAATTTCCATTGCAATGCACATTTGGGTCTTTCTTCTTCCCAAATTTTAGTTGCATACCTAATTCATGTAGAACTTTTGAATTGAATGAATGAATCATGAAGCCAACCAAGAGAACCCACGAGTTGATTGTACATACCAGAAAAATCTTCAACAGAAAAAGAAAAATCAACAAAAAAGAAAAAAAAAATGGTAAAATGACTAGAAGAGAACCTCTGAATGTGAGAATCAGTCAGAATTGGAGCTGCAATCCAATCCGATACTGCTTCCACCAGGCCAATTGAACTCTAACTTACAAGAGAGATGCTGCCAGAACTTAATGGACAAGAAAATACCCACCTTCCACCTCGTCCTCGCATGCCCATAAAGCATAAATGGCACTTTTTCCTGCTTCAATGCTGCATCCATCGATTCCATCCTTCCCTCATCCAAGGGGATCGTCGATGATTGAACAATATAGTTCAGTGGCATCGAGTTATTCATGGGCACATTAAATGGATCAGCCCTTAGCTCTGCTAACTTTACACCCTGAAACCCCAAGCCGAAGCTTATATCATAGAAGCTTGCATCGGCCTTAACATTGTCGTTAACAGCCAACACCGTGAGGGTCATTTGGATATTGAGTAGGCCAGATTGATCATATTCAATTTTGTCGAGGTTTGCATATGTTACCTGTATGTAGGGCATTTTTGGCTTGTAGACCATGTAGACCACAAACACCACAATGCCTGTGATGATCACTGCGACTGCTAAGATTGCAAGAATGATCGCCACGAGCCAGACTAGTGGATGGGTGCGATCACCCTGATTGCTAATTAGCCTTGGCATCTAGAATTGGAGGGTGGATGCAGCATTTGGAATTGGGGATTGTTGTGTTGCTCCTATATTATGTGGATTGTGTTGTAGGTTTTTAGCTAATGAGGGTAGGGGCTTTTGCCATTGTGGAGGAGCTTGAAGGTTAATGAAGCTTGGTATCTTCTTTGCTGTGAGAGGGGGGTCTCTATTGAGGAATCTTGGTAGCTTTACTAATTGGTTAAAGGAAAATACCAAACTTGCATTGCTCCTACTAATCACTTGGCTTTTGCTTTTTCTTTCTTTTTTAGTTCTGTGTCTGTCATCATCAAATACTTCTCCTTCGTGGACACCTCTCGGAACAGGCACCTTTTGGCTTCTTGTCTCCTTTTCTCCTACCTCCAACTCATCCATTTGCTGAAAGTGGCATCCACTAAGAGATCTATACTATTGAAAGCCTTGGATAGTTTTCTCTCTGATCACCTCACTTTTGCTAAAACTGATTGACATATAAAGAAGAAGTAGCATTGCTGATTTCTTAACTTTGTAATGACAAGTTATGGCTGTGTTGTTGCTTACATACGATGTTTAATTTAACAAGGTTTGTAGATTGCTGAGGATATCTGGCGTGTAACCAGAGAAGTAGAGGAAAGGAAAAAAGAGAGGTGTTTGGACCCATTTGGTCTCTAAATATGTTCAACGATTCTCTGTTTTCATGTACTCATATAGTGCTTGATTGATGTTTGCTTGATACATTTTGTAAAATGACTAGAAGAGAACCTCTGAATGTGAGAATCAGTCAGAATTGGAGCTGCAATCCAATCCGATACTGCTTCCACCAGGCCAATTGAACTCTAACTTACAAGAGAGATGCTGCCAGAACTTAATGGACAAGAAAATACCCACCTTCCACCTCGTCCTCGCATGCCCATAAAGCATAAATGGCACTTTTTCCTGCTAACTAAAGCAATGAGATGTGATTTCTAAACGGCCACAGGTTTCTGTAAAGACAAAGCATGAACATAAATTGACACTGAGTAGTTTATGCAAGTCAAACATTATGTGAAATTAGAGTATATGAACACAACCATGCCTAACATAATGCAAAATGAGTAGCCACTGAATACACCAGCTACGCCTAACATGGCCATAATAACTTGTAAGTGTTTGAATAATTTTACCAACAGAAAATGACTTGGTGATCCTAAAAAGGGACTAACCCTTTTGACCTTTATGATTACTGTTGTCCACATGGCTAACATACAACATGATGCATCTCCTTCTGAAATTTATTAAACCTTATCAATTCACTCTTTACGCAGATGAATCGATATTTGTGACAATGATGGATCCCCAAGACTTCATCAGACTGTCAATTGGATCTCTGGGGATACGAATCCCAATGGCAGCTTCAAAACCAATGAAAGGTGCAACTCATGCAACATCTACCTCTATATACTGTTGTCAGATCAGGCTCCGAGGCTTCCCTATACAGACTGCTCAGATCCCGTTAATATCCTCTTCTGAGCCCAATCCTGACCCTCAAAACAACCCGATAATCTTCTATCTTGGGAAGTCTGATGTCAAGGCGTTAATGGCCTCTAGTTGCTTCCATACCTCCCAACCGTTTCTTGAGGTTGTGGTCTTTTTGGGAAGGAAGAAGGGATCAAATTGCAGTGTTACGAGCAAAAAGCAGCAGCTTGGGACATTCAAGGTGGAGGTGAGTCCTGAATGGGGTGAAGGGAAACCGCCACTGATTCATAATGGTTGGATTGAGATTGGGAAGCAGAAGCAGTTAGGGGGGAGACAAGGGCCGGAGCTGCATTTGAGAGTGAAGCTGGATTCGGATCCTCGATATGTTTTCCTGTTTGAGGATGAGACGATGTTGAGTCCTCAGATAGTTCAGGTTCATGGAAGTATCAAGCAGCCTGTATTCAGTTGCAAGTTCAGCAGAGAGAGACGGTAAGTAGCTCGGATCTTCTTTAGTTCTTCATCACTTATTTTTTATAGTTGCACAATGTTTAGCATAAGCGTACAGGTTTTCAAGTCAAGGATTTGTCAATGGTAATCTTTGGTCTGTTCTCTGTTGTTTCCTACTTCATGAATTGGCATTTTTCTCCATGCTCAATCTAGTATTGGAGAATTCTCTTATTTATTTGATCTTGAAAACGGAGTTCGATTTGAAAAAATTAAGGCTGGAATAGACTGAGCTAAGTTCAGTTATGATACTTCCCTCTTCATAGACTGTAAACTAGCAAGTGCTTTTAGCAAAGCACTGTATCTTTTGTTATTTTTTTATTTTTATTTGTTGCATCCCTCATACTAGTCATTGAACTTTACAGACTGTCTCTTCATGCGACCAGCACTTGTTACAGTATAAAGTTTTCTCCCGTACTCACCACAACTTCAGAGTTCTTGTGTCGGTAGACTTTGACATGATATTAGAGCAACCCATGTTCAAATCTCATTTGTCACGAATTTACAGTCGATTTTAAGAAAATTTGATATAACTGCGTGAGTCCAAAATTTCAGCCCATGAAAAAGACGCTCAGCTTCCGCCTATGGAAGCATGTTAGAATATAAAATTACACCCCTCAACCCTCACCATGAACACAGGGTCCTTTGACAGAAACTATGAAGTATAATTGAACTATCTGTTTTTTGTTTTTGTTTTCTCGTGTCATGTAAATAGAAGTCATAATATTGAGCATTGAAACATATATCTTTTGAAAGATTGGACTCTCATCCTTGCATATGTCTCCAACAGTGCATGTCAGCTCGACCCTTTAGGCACATACTGGTCAAACTCCAATGATGATGAAACCCAAGACATCGAGCAACGAAGGGAAAGAAAAGGCTGGAAGGTGATGATCCACGATCTTTCTGGCTCTGCAGCTGCCGCAGCCTTCCAATGCAACACGGCCTTCGTGGCGCTTCCTCAGGGTTCGACAGGTCGCTCGCGTCAAAACCCTGGTGCTGGCTCATTGTCCCCTGGCCGCGACCCCCCGCTGGCAGCGTCCGCAGCAGCTGGCATCCGGATGGGGCCGTCTCGAAGGCCTGGCGAGAGGCCTGGCTCCCGCAGACTTCCAGTCTGCCTTCGACTCTTCCTCCTTCCTGAAGGGCAAGAAGGAGGAGTTTTAGTATCAGAAGTTTTGGTAAGTGCAGGAAAGGGAGGGGAGTTTTTGATTGATATGGATAGGCAAGCTCCGGCGGGGACGCCGGTGCATTGTCCTCCGGGCACAACGGTGGAGGAGACAGGTGGGTTTGTGATGAGTTGCAGGGTTCAGGGGGAAGGGAAGAGGAGCAAGCCGGTGGTGCAGCTGGCGATGCGTCATGTTATGTGCGTCGAGGATGCTGCGATTTTTATGGCGCTGGCGGGGGCGGTGGATCTTAGCATCGAGGCGTGTAGGCCGTTCACGAAGAAGATGAAGAAGGGGATCAGGAGTTCTCTGTTGTCATAGCAGGGGTGGGCTTGTTACTGTACGTAGAATGCTCAGCACAGAATGGGTATGGGAGCTATCTGTGTGAGCACTGACTGTAAAGATAATCACCTGGGGATGACATTTCTTTGGTTGATAAGATGAGCTTTTTGTGCCTGGAAATGGAATAACAACTTTTTTTTTTTCCTTTCATGGCAGAGTCCGTTAAATTTTTACTCATCCGCTCTGGCCTTTGTCTTGAATGATTTTGAATCTTTTTTAACTGGCTGTGGAAGCTATTTATGATATCATTTTTTCTTGTCACTGACAAAATAAAAACAAAACTATATGATAAAATAACTCGCAAAGATGGGGGGTGCATGTTCCAAAAAAAAAAAAAAAACTACACTGTTGAGAGTGGGATTTGAACCCACGCCCTTTCGGACCAGAACCTTAATCTGGCGCCTTAGACCAACTCGGCCATCTCAACATTTACGCTTTGGGTTAAATTGCTAATATTTAAAATATGTAGTTAAATTGCTAATACATACCCTGAGAGATTATAAACTATGGACCAAATGTATACATGCAAGTTTGGGATAACAATATATGAAAATGATAATATTTTATAGGGGAAAAAGTGCACTTTCATTCGAGAAAACATAGCCGATATATCCAAACTCTTTAACTCCAGAATAATAAAATTGAACACAAAATACACCAACACTTTACAGAGTTTCATGACTAGTTGTTTGCAACTTTGTTTGCCTCCCGCTCGATAAAGCCAAACTCGTGATCGATAAATGTATCCGCTTCACATTTTATTAGATTTGCAAATAAACAAATCTTAATGCAAATTGAACATACACAATAATGCTAGTTCGTTGCATCAATAATTCGCCAATTAAATTTCCATTCCAAATTCGACGCACATTCATTCCTAAATCAGCATATAATGAAGCCTCAAGCCTGCTAGTACAAGGACTTTGCACATTTCGTAAATATATTTCAATATCACTAGAATTTTGTTTTCAGTCATTTAGCTTCGGCCACCCAGTAAAAAATAAAAATAATAATTTTACTTATATACTGATTAAAAGTAGAAAAGTGATCAACCCGGAGAGACAAGGAATAGAATCTCGTTGAAAAGGAAAAAAAAAAAAAGTTTGAAATTTTTACATCGCGCTGGCGCTCTACGTGGGTGGTAATCCTCTGCACCCAAGCAAAGCGTCCAATATCCTCATTTTTGTCACCCTCTGGCGATTCTGTCTCTCCGTTCATCTCGCTCTCCCCAACTCCCCCCCCGGGCTGATGAGCCCCCCCCCCCCCCAAAAAAAAAAAAAAAACAAAAATATCTCACGCTTAATAATTAACTTAATAGTAAAACCCGATCAAGCCTTAATTTTGAGTTGCGGGGGCTCTCAATGCGATGACGATGAACTCCTTCGTCTGATATCCTTCAATCTCTCGCTGCCGCCCAAGAGTGGGTCCCTGCTATTCAAAGAACCCCGATGGGCCAGCTCAACCGGAGGCCGCGACCGCCGACGCCGGTCACCGGCGGAGCTCCGGGCCTGAAACGCGGCCTCGGCCTGCGCACCGGTGGCCGGTGACCGTGGCCGTTCGAGGCCATTCGATGTCGTGCGTAGGTCTCATCCCTAAGGCCCGGCCTTTATTATGAGGAGGCCATTGAGAAGGTAATTTAAAAAAAAAAAAACTTCCGATTTTTTGATTATCTGCGGTTTTTTTTATGTTTTTTTTGGATGGTGTGGGCAGGTGATTTATAGGTGCAGGTTCATGGCGATACTTGGAGTGTTTGGTTCTTTGATGGGTTCTGTGCTCTGCTTTCTCAAGGTAACCCACTTACGTATGGTTGTATCCGTGTGTTTGATTCCTGTGGCTCTTTTGTGCCCTGCACACCAGTTGTTTGTCATTTTGCTTCACTGAAGTAAAACGATTAGTATTACACATAAACATGTGAAATTTTGTTTGGGAGTCTTGAGACGCTGTGGTATGACCAATGTAAGTCTATGTCCCCAGTACCACAGCCCTCTAAGGAATGAACCACCATCCTTCTTTTATGATTGTTGCCAACAAAGGTTGCATGACTTGCTCTAATTCCTTGCCGCGACAATATTCATTATTCACTGCACTTCCAGTTAAGTTCAACCTATATTGTCCCATATCTATTCGCAAAGCTAGCGCCATTTATCTGCGTCTGCTACGTGGGATACTGCTCTTCATGTCCATATGACCTGTCGATTGAAGCTCCAACTGGTTATTGCAACTGCAGGCACTGATGAACATTTGGAATCTGAGGAAATCATTAATCAAATCCGCCGGTAATGGTTTAAATAGGATTTTCATACCTTATTCTGCACGTCATGGGTACCCTTAACCTTTTACTTCTGGACATTTCCATGAAATCTTGTCCTCCGCAATGTAGCTAGCCTGTACCGTGTTAGGCCAGCTAGAGTAAGCATCCTACTGGGGGCGGCAAACGGGCCAGATTGGCCCAAAATTCGGACCGGACCAAGCCAATGCGGACCTGGACCCCAGGATCATACCAGGTAGACCTGAACCCAGTAGGCCTTGGCCCGGGTGTCAGCCCGGATTGGCCCAGTCTCTCCCCTTCGATTCCCATGTAAAACATGTGTATAATAAACTTTTTAGCCCACTTGACGTGGGGCCTAGGTGATTCGTAGATGGATTCTTCTGGGTGTTGAAGTTCGTTTTCATTGGAGGTCGGCTAGGATCACAGGTCACTTATTCCCTTGACCTACGATGATGCGATCAGTCAGTTTTCACCTCTTTATCAGGTATTGACAGTGCTTTTTCTTTATGATAATTGCTGTCTGAATCTCTCCCCTTATTGCTCTTAGATTGACTCATCACTGCCTTGTTGGCCCTTGCCTTTTTCTAGTAACTCTAGTCTCGGATTTTGTTGGTCTAGTGCTTTCCAGGCTCAGGCTAGTTTCTTTGTGGCTGCAGCATGGTTTGTGATCGGGCTAGTATTTGGTGGGTTCTTTTGGGGCTTGGCCTACTGCTGTTTGATTAAGGATAATGTCTTTATTGTAATTTGTTTCCTTAGGATAGAAAAGCCGAGATAACTTCACAAACTTTATATCATCTCTAAAACTAACATCCGAAAGGTGAAGGGATTTGTTTTTCATTTTGTTTTACGTTATTTAACACCAAAGGAAAGCTAGATTAACTATTTGCTCTTTTATTTGAGTTTAGATGCTTCCAGAATTGTCATTAATTTGCAGTACTTAGTAGATACTGTTGGCGAACATTGTGGGTGTTAACTCATTTAGATAAGTTGACATCATTAATGATTGCTGCAGGGTTGCGTATATGTGCTAAATTCCTTCATAGAATACACAGCAGGCAGTGGAAAAGTGATCTTGATGGTGGTTGAAGCTATTGGTGAGTCCAACATCAAATTTAACGGAACCACTTTGAATTTGTTGCATCCATGTGTTTCTGGACTCTCTTGTGTGAGTGGATTATAATATCATTCTTGTAATTTTGCACATATTTGGTATTTTTTTATTTACAATATTTATTACCTGGAGATTTTAGTGGGAGTGTGCTTCGTATCTGTAAGTTGGTTATAGTCTATTATTTCTCAATTAAGTTTAATGAAGACAATCGGTGAGCCAGGTAAATATTAAATAAAAAACATGAATATCTGTTAACGCTTGATCTTAGCTTTAAAATGGGCAAACGACAAGGTTGATCCTGTTTTTAAGAAAAAATATGTGATAAGTTCTGCCAGGTGGATGTGAATTGAGACTTTGTTCTATTAACATTTTGACCTATTGTAGTCATACATTTTTGGATATGATTTTTTGTGAAAAGCCAAAAGCAGAAGTGCTGGCTGGTGCTGTGAAATGAACCTGTTTGTGATGTATGGATGCCAAACAAATATGTACTAGGTGTTGACGCGGTTTATCAGCTGAGCTGACATGGTTTTTGGAATAATACATGACTAACTGATCCTTTTACTTCACTTGCAGATGTCTATCTTATAGGAACAGTAATGCTTGTCTTTGGTATGGGTCTTTACGAGCTCTTCATTAGCAATCTTGACATTGCTAAGACCTCTTCTTATGGATCGAACCTCCTTGGATTATTCAAACTTTCGGTAAATCTCATTACTTAAGTTCACCTATGCTTCTACAGTATGTCATTTAGGCTCTATGCTCCTCATGACTGCTTTAAAACTTAAATCTTTCTCACAATGGGGGTATGTGATTTCTCCTAATTGTTTTTTCCCATCTATTATGTTAGTTTCTCAGCCCATCTGTCAACTATTATTGTAGGAACGGCCAAAATGGTTAGAAATTCAGTCAGTAAATGAGCTGAAGACAAAGCTCGGTCACGTCATTGTGATGGTTCTTTTGGTTGGGTTATTTGAAAAGAGCAGAAAGGTGACAATATCTTCATCCACAGACCTGCTCTGCTTTGCAGCTTCTATCCTCCTATTATCCAGTTGCCTCTATTTGCTATCGAAGCTTCATTCCTCCAAATAAAGTAAACATGCCTGATATAAGGTATAACTTGTCTTTTTCATGAAGGTATGTAAATAAGCTTTTTAAGTCGCAGTATGGTTCCTAGATATTAATATGTAATGGGACACAATGTTTCTGGAAAAGGTAAGAGAGTGGGATTGTGTTCATTACTTAAAAAATATAAAATACAACACAGAGATGGCTTCCTGCATATAATCATGTCAATGTATTCTAGTAAAAAAATGTACAAGTCTCTGTCACACATTTTTCTTTTCCTCGTTATCGTTATCCAGACTCAAGCTGGTTTCTCTTGGGAAAGCTGTGTCAAACTGTAGCTGTTACACTTCCCTCATGGGATATGCATAAAATATCTGGTATATTGACAATTCTTATGATTAATTGTAGCTTGTATCTTTGATGGACATAGAATGAATAATTTAACAGCTGAGTGTTCTTGGGCGGAAGCAATTTCAGGATGAGTGACCTTTTGGAAAGTTCGTGCTCAATGTGTAGAAAGATAATGGAGTAGCGTCAATCAGAAGTGCATAGAATTAAGTTCCACATAGAGCTAAGCATACTATAAGGAGCAAACTGCAACTCCACATAAGGATTTGCTTGTCTTTGCTGCTCCAATCTGTGAGAGACATCTTTAGAATCCATGACGTTACCTTTAGAGTGCCATATCACTTGGTGGAGTGAGTATGGTGAGGGCGCCGTATTTTGAATTGGATAGTCTTATTATGTTACATGCACACAAGAGGGACCTTTGACTGGGAGAAGGACGTAAAGATGAATGACCATATATGGATGAAGAATCATGATTTGAACATGGGACCAAAATAAAAACCTCAAATTTGAGAGTTTCAAGAGTTGTAGTTGTAATAGTAGTGATGTATCCTGCATAGAAGGAGAAACTATGGTAGGTAAGAAAGCTGCTAACAGCGCAACCAATGCTCAAGAATCATGATTCACCCTCAAAAAGAGGGGGGGTGGGGGTGGCAATCCCAGAAAAGAAGGATTTGAATCTTAGAAAATCTCTTTATCCATATGCTAATAACCCGACTTCCTTATAAAACTTCAAATCTTATTAGCATAAAATTTTCATTGGCAAATGAGAGAATCCTACCTGCCTTTTTATACATACTAGGTAGAATGCACGTGGTTAAATATCATAATTATTTACTTTAAGTTTATTTATTTACTATAACAAGGTTGCATAAAACTTTATAATTATCATAATTATTTACTTTAAGTTTATTTATTTACTATAACAAGGTTGCATAAAACTTTATAATTATCATGATATATTTAATTTTTTTGGATATTCCAAAGCGTGGTTTTAACATTTTACGGTTTTAATGTTTTGTCTTCCAGAGAAATAGTGATGTTTAAAGCCTTAAAATATTAATAATTTAAGATTAATTAATAATTTAAAAGTATAATTTCAAAATATTAATGATGTAAGGGACCAATACTGAAAAAACTATTGTTATTAGTGAAAAAATAAATTCTTGAATTCATCACAGAAAAATGGTAGGTTTTATCTAGTCATTAAGGATTTCGTTCAGTTATAAAAAAATCACTTCCACATGTTATTTACTTCCACCTATTGTCTATCCGGCGACCGAGTATTATAGATTTTTAAAAACTTTTTTCTAGAATTTTTAAGTTAGAATGTGCAAATTCTATCAAGAAAGAAAATATAAATTATATGATTAATTCTAAAATCTGATGTTGTACTCTTTTTACATCTTCCCAACTACTAATTGATCTGTCAAAACGATTATTTTTTAGTTTCAAAAAATCATAAAATATAGTTTGAGAATGATTTGTACATATTATTCACTCATATTGATTGTATTTTAACAAAATATTTCACATCTATCCAATGTCAAACAACATCCAAATATTTAGCTTAAGGACTTAGACGAATATAATATCTGCAATAATATTCATATCCAAGCTATGAGCTTCATAAACTTATAAGAATGTGAGCAATATAAAATAAAAACTTGATTTATTTTGTCAAATAATTTATTACAAATCATGAAAGACAAGGGGAATCAGAATGATCATATACTCATCCCAAATAAATATTAAATTAATTCTTATAGCAAAAGATTTTCTGAGTTGATGTGTAGGACAAACTTAAGGACAAATAATCAAAACCAGTTCATTGAGTAATAGACTTGCTATAAACTCTACTCTTATAAAATTAATGACACATGTGCCTTAAGTTGTGCTTTTGTTTAAGGGTTAATTTTAGAGAACTCCCCCTCAACTATGGGGGCATGTCAATCTCCCCCAACCTATTTAAAACTGAGTAAATCTCCGTCAAGTTTTGAGTGTTTCGTAGATAATATCTCAACTTTAAAAAAAATTGATTTAACCCTTGTGGACGTTTCTCACTTAAACTCAACCTCTCAAAACTAATATGATTGAGTTTTATCTACTATGTGACAAGTATTTCACTTGGAAAGACCAAAATATCAATCATTCATAAAAGAGTTACCTTAATTTTTGCCATATGAAGAAAAAGAGGTGACATAGAGGGAAAAATTGTAAATTAGTTGTGGTCCTTTTATTATTGGTTAAGGATTTATTTTTAATTAAAACAACTTTCTTCCAGAGGGTATTTTGTTCAAATCACAAATTAAAGTAACTATGTTAAGGAGGTTTATTGATAGAAGTGTAAAAGATTAGGGGAGTTTTTATAAGACACGTTATAGTTGAGAGGTGTTTTCTAAAATTACACTAAAATTGAGAGGGTTATCTATAACACCCCCATAATAAGGGGGTTTTGTCAAACTGAATCAATTGAGTGGGTTTTTAAAGACAATCTCCATAGTTGGGAGAGTTTGTAAAAATTAACTCTTTTAAATATGATTTATTTATAATTTGTCCCTCAAAATTTTAATAATTTAATATTAATCCCTAAAATTATGAGCAATTTCAAAAATTTGAGGGAATAATATAGAATCATTGGATATTTAAAATCAAGGAGTTAATATCTAAATAACATTTACATATTTGTTCTTATAGGCATTCTATTAAATATTGGTTAATATATTGCTATATCGGTCAATATATCGGTGTTAAAGACTTTCTGCCGGTAATATTTTTATATTGTTTTTTTTGTTTGGTGATTTTTTGATATATCGATCGTTATTGAAAATATGATCGATATATTCCTTTAAAGATATCAAGAAAATCATGTTATTTTTAATTTGATTGTGGGTTCAGGTTTGGATTATGTTTGGGAAACAAAATCGAAACTAATAAAACCCACAAAGGCCACAGTTCTTCACCCAAATCTCTCCACTCTTGGCTCTCCCAGATCTTAAGCATGTCTTGATGCAAATTCTTATGCTTAAAATTTATTAATATGTTAGATTATATATTACAATGTCATGTTATGTATGAACTTGTATGAACCCAATATTACTTACATATCCCTAATATTTTGATATCCGATATCAAGGATTTTATTTGCTCAATATTTATTTGATGTCCAACATTTTGTAGTACTTCAAAAGCCTCTTCTAAAGTTTTCTAAGCGAAGTATATACTTTCAGGAAATAATTCAAAATCTTGAGACATTCAAAATATGATGCTTTAATTTTTCCACATCTCCTCTACTATATAAATATAAGCTAAGCATCTGGCCTCATTTTGGATGATGAATATTATTTATCAATGGGATTATAATTATATACTATTGTTTGTGGATAACAAAGATTTTAAATATTTTATAGGTTTAACTGAACTTAAATACCTTATAGTTTACCAAAATTATACTTATATACCTCCACTTGTATCTTGTTGCACTTTTTTTTTAAATTTTAGATAACGTATCTTGCTGCACTTAAATATCCTAATATTTTCTAAAATTTAATATTTGTACCTTCTGTCCTATTACCTAAACATAAAAATACTCTTTGTAGTTTTCCTATATGAGTTCATGGTATAATTTTAGGGAAATTCTATGTTTTCTACTCTTTCTAAAAATACTTTATTGACATGCAATTATCTATTAATATATTATTATACGTTACTAATAATTAATATGATGTATAATTTTACAATAACGTTGGAAGTTTAAGGGACCAAATTGTACAAACTTAAAGTAACATATAATATAATTTATTAACAATAATAATTAATTTAGTTTAGTTAGTATTAAAATGTAATATCAAAAAAAAATAGGGGTAATATAGTCATTGAAAAGTTTTTCCACAACTCCCTATTTTAAAGGGAGTATGAAGTTTTCAACAACTACCCAAGTCCAAATACGCCAGAGACCAGGTGACCTTTTAAAGGTCGGATTTCTGCTTATTAGCTTCATTTTTTTACATTAAAAGGCAGAAAAAGAAATAGGCCTTTAGAGAATACATCGAACAAGACTAATAGAATGATGAGTCTCTACTGGGAACTCCTTTCTTATAGAGAAGCTACTCACTTGCCCTAATAGAAATGAAATGATTGTTCATGCTCAAGGAAGTCTTGTGCTCACTGACTATTAGAAGTCAAAACTAAACACACTGTCATTTGGTATCCTTGAATGAGCAAGGAAAGTAAAATTATCTATTGCTCTCTTCGAATGAAGAAAACATTAAGGAAAAATTGGAAAAAATGCTAGACTTGAATTGCAAGTAGAAAAACAAACTCACTGGAGTTAGTTTCCACTGTAGCTATTTTTCCACATTAAGTATCATATTCATGCCCTTTCATAAGAGATTACATTCTGTAGTTAGTTTCCATTCAAAAAAAAGTGCTCATCTTAAAGAGGAAAGTGCCAAGGGATTCAAAGAAATTTCGACCAGAATTGCTATTGGTTCATCTTTCATATAAACAGCATAGTCAGACCAAACAATTTCCTTGAAAACTCATCACCTTGCCCACTAATATGATTCTGGATATCTTCCATAAGAAATTGATGGCCGTACATAATGAGCGCATGATTAGGTACTACGGTTGGTTTACTGGTCAGATGAATATGAGCACAGGACCACAGCAGCTGCAGGAAACGGAGAGACGTCTTTCATGGTTGCTGATCAAGGGAGGCTCATTTGAGTCCAATTGTTCTTGAATGACAGGAGTTAGTGTTGAATTAGGTACCACATTTATGCTTTTTTGTTGTATGGTTATTGTGGTAGTTTGAACACATTTATGCAGTTTACACAAATTGAAACCTTGATAAATTTAGCCCAAGTGAAACTTATTCAAATTATCCTTTCTCTTCCAGAAGCTCAGAAAACAGGGAAAACCTAACTTA